AGCTAGCCACAGAAATACATTGGAAAATGCAGATTCCTGGGGAGGTATTTTCTCTAGGAATCTGTAGGTTCTCCAGGAAATATGGAAGAGATATCCTTGAATATCCTTAACAGTTTTAGTTATTTGTTTCTTTGCATATTTTTACTTTCTTGGGCTGTCCTGTGTCCCTAACCCTAGTAGATGTGAAGGGCTGACAGTAATGTAGTTGCTATCGTCTGCCCTTTCCTGTATTCATGTGAAGTTTGGAAACATATCCCACATGGATATGGGGATCCTGCTGCAGTTGGCATTACATTAACTCAGCATAAGGGAATAGTAAAGCCAGGATGAATCTTTCCCTTCCTAGTCGGCTCAGGGAAAAGTATACTACAGCCTCTCCAAGGATGATTCTACACTGTTGAATGGATGCATGACACCTGTTTGACTGCCCTGACTTAGTGCTATGGAATCTGAGCAAGCAGGCCCGTAGCCAGGATTTCGATTCGGGGGGGGGGGGCGGTGGTTTTTTTCAGGGGGTTTTGGGTGGGGGGTGGGGTGGGTGGTGGGTGTGTGAGTTGATGTGAAAGAGGCGTCTACCCCACTCAATAATTTTTATCATAAAAACAACTCAATCCAAGTTATAATAAATTAAAGTATCAGAAACAAACAAACACATTTGGAAGAGAGAAACATAAACAGTTTAAAACCAGAAGTCTGTCCTAAAGCCCATCAATCTGGCAGGTTAGGTGCCTGTCAATATAATCTTAGGGATTAATTAAGTATATGGCTGAAGCCCCCCAAGCCCCCCCCCCCCCCCCCCCGGCTACATGCCTGTGAGCAAGGCTGAATACATTGTAAAACTACAGCTCCCAAGACTTCGTAGCATTGAGCCATGACAGTTAAAGTGGTGTCAAGCTGCATTAATTCAACAGTGCAGATCGCACATGGGCAAACTTGGGTCCTCCAAGTGTTTTGGACTTCAACTCCCACAATTCCATATAGTCTCAGGCCCTAGGCCCTTTCATCTCTCTCTCCCCCCAACAGCCGCTTAAGCTTTTCCCCCTCAGCTGCTTGAGGGGGAAAAGGAAAGGGCCTGAGGTTGTTGGGAATTGTGGGAACTGAAGTCCAAAACACCTGGAGGGAGGGCCCAAATTTGCCCATGCCTGGTATAGATGCACACCAAACCTCCAGTTTCTCTCCTCCCCACCAATATTGACCATATATTGTCTGTGCTTGGATGTTACCCAGTTTGCATTTGTGAAATGTCAGAGACATGCTTTTTAATACAAAACTTCAGTTAAGATCCTGTGAGAAAGGATATTTGGCTGATGCTCCAATTCTCTCTTTATTTCAATCCCAGAATGAATGAAATTGCAGTGCTTCACCCCATTCTTCATCAGAGGCAGGAAGAACTTGCTGAGGTCCAAACACTTTGTACCCGGAGTGCCCAGCAACCTAAACTCACAGGTAGAGCCCAATAACTTGTAGTCTATTGCAATGAATGCATTTGAAAATAAATCAAAATGAGATATTCTTATAGAGAAAGTGGGCAGGAAACTACAGATCTCTAGGAGCAGCAGAGTTATAAAGGAGACCAATTGCAGCAAAGCGAGAGATGAAGAGAGGCTGAGTTTAAACAACAAGCAGTACAGCCCCTAATTGGGATGGGTAAGGTCTCAGGCATTGCAATGATACACGAAACAATGAAAAATGGCAAACCTTCTAGCCCAAGAATACCATAGGGTTATGCTGCGGTACCTAGAAAATGTCTATAGCGGGCATACTTTGTCAGAAGTGGATAAATAAAAACACAGGTATGGGTCTTATGGGTGCAGGGGTTGTACAGTAGAGTCTCGCTTATCCGACATAAATGGACAGGCAGGACATTGGATAAATGAAAATGTTGGATAATACAGAGGCTTCTGGCAGTTGAAGTCCATATCCCTATCCTGGCAGAGATCAGTGGTGAGTGTGTTCTCCTTCTGTTTGGTTTTCCAGACACAAGGAGAGAACTCAGTCACCACTGATGGGGAAAAAGGCAGGATAGAAATGTCGTAAATAAATAAATAAACTCACTCATCACTGAGGGGGGAAAAGCAGCAAACAAGTAATTGTAATGAAAAGGTAGGAGAGGCAGAACCATTATGCTCTGGCTCCTCCTTCGGAATCTGCACAGTGGTATTGCCCAAAATGGCGAAAGAAGGAAACTAAAAACATGGCCTCTAAAAGGGAAATGCAGGAGGAAAATGGGGGGCGGGGGCATTGGATAAGAGCGTCGGATAACACGGAAGTTGGATAAGCGATGGTTGGATAATGTATTGTCAAAGGCTTTCATGGCCAGAATCACAGGTTGTAGATTTTTTGGGCTGTATGGCTATGTTCTACAACATAGCCATACAGCCTGAAAAACCTACAACAACCTGAAGGTTGGATAAGTGAGACTCTACTGTACTATATTTTGAGGGGGAGATAGTTATGTTCTTTTTTCCAGGCAGGAAGGAGTTTTTGTCCAAAGACTGACGTTTACTCATTTATTAAGGTAGACATTAGTGTCTGCATCTTAGCAAACTCTTTCCTCTCCATTCTCATTGTCAGCGGCAACTCGGATCCCAAGAACCATCAAATGCACCCCAGGAAATGCTTCATGCACCTTCCATGGCAGTTCCATGGATGACATTCTCACAGGGCCCACACCACATCCCTCTGGAGGCATTGCTACTCAAATCCTTGGCGATCATCCTGAGAAAGCTCAAGGCGTCACTGAAGATCCAGGAAATCCAAGAGACTTCTTTAGATGTTCTTCAACCCACATGGCAGGAGATGTAGACGGTGTCAAAGGCAATGTTCTTGGAGGTGTGACAACTCGCCTCCCAGGGGGTGTAGCACTCACAGGGAACAGTCCTGGGAAGGCCACAAATATCCCTGCAGGTGATGCAACCCAAATGCCAAGAGGCCCTATCACTATTGCATCTGGGGCAACAGAAAGCATCCAAAAAAACCACACCATCGCTCATGTTTCTGGTATTGGCAACGGCCACAAAGGAAGTCATGCTATAGGTGCCACAAGCCACGTCTCAGGTGTTCCACCCATTGATACCCCGATACATCTACCTGGGTACACCATGGGCAACTTTGTCACAAGGAGAGATACCGGCATGATCCTCCATGGTGCCATTGGTTCAAAGCCCAATGCCACACTGACCCCTCAAGGTGTCACTGGCTTAATTCCTGAAGGTGACAAGGGACACATTCATAGCACAACCACTGCGGATATCATGGGCCACATCCCTGAAAGTGACCCCAGCTATAGCTCTAAAAAACCAATTGGCCATGTTGCCCAAAATGCAACAACTCACAGTCCTGGAAGTGGTATAGAAAGCGATGTTTCTGACGGTTCTGATGTTCACATCTATACAGGTGCAAGCCATGAATTTCCTCGTATAACAGCAAATAGTGCTCTGGATACAAACACAACAGACATCCCTGTAAATGCCAGTATTTATATCCCCGGAGCAGCCTTGACCAATGCAAGATACAACACATTCCTGGTATTCTGTGGCACTCTCCTCTCTGGGCTCCTTGTGATGCTCATGCTATAATTGGCTTCATTTTTTTTGGCAGAAGTACCTTAATAAAACACCATAAAGAACTGCATTGTGTATTTGTGTTTCCAAAGCAATGACACACATCTGTAAACATTTGAATAGTCCCATCCTGAGTGTGTGGAAGTAGGCCAAGGGTGTATCTACACTGTAAAATGGACAGTTTGGCACCACGTTAACTACCATTGCTCAATACTATGGAACCCCTGTATTTGGAGCTTTACAAGATCTTTAGTTCTCTGCCAAAGGGTCCTGGTGCTTGATCAAACTACAACATAGCACTGGGCTATGGCTGTTAAGGTGGTGTCAAACTGCATTCAATCTAAAGTGCAGGTGCATCCCATGTCTTATCCCCAACCAAGGATATTGCATCTCTCAGAAGACAAGCCAAAGACCCTCAAAAGGTGTGAATTTCAAAAGACCTAGAAACATTCTCTGACAAAGTGCCTCACCAAACTACAACTTCCAGGGTTGCACAGCATTCCCCTTTCCTGTAGAAAAGTTTCCTTCCTACTCACACATAGCTGGCTACACACCGCTGGCCTTATGCATTGGGCCACATAGGCCAAATATAAGAGGCTGAGTTGGGAAACCACAGATGCCAAGGGTCTGCATCCAACCACTGTCCACTCTGCCATTCAAGCAAATGATAGTAGTAAGAATAATACAAATAAAAATGTAAATGTTTGGGTTGTTGTAGGTTTTCCAGGCTATATGGCCATGATCTAGAGGCTTTCTCTCCTGACGTTTCACCTGCATCTATGGCAAGCATCCTCACTAACCTACAACAACCCAGTGATTCTGGCCATGAAAGCCTTTGACAATGTAAATGTTTGTTTGTTTGTGAATTACCTCAAAACTCCCAAAATACTTCACCGATTGCTTCCAAATTTGGACACAACGTAGCATTCCAACAGGTGAATGTTATTATGCATTTACTTATCTACTATTATATAGATGTCACACCTGTGACAGATTAAAACATTCTTGGCATCAAAAACAGTGCCATCTGCTGGATGCCCAAGCAATACATCGAAAAGTGACCCTGTCAGAGCCAAAGCCTCCATTAGGGATCCTCGGCCTGGTAGCCTCCCCCCCCCCACACCAAGCCTACCTGCCTGCCTCCCTGTGGAGAAGAACTGGGAGAAGAAGAGTGAGGAAAGGGCAGGGGGGCAGGTAGGGAAATCCAGGCCAGGGGGAGGGGCGGGACATGAGCCCACAGGAAGGAAGGAAGCAGGCAAGGAGGTAGGCCCAACTCAAGCCCCGGGCTCCTATAATCTCACACCTCGCCCTGCATTGCCTGGCACTACCTCACACCCATGCCTCCAGGAAGACTGGAAGCTCAGAAGGAAGGAAGGATTGAATGGTAAGAAGGGAGAGATAGATAGAAGGGAAGGAAAAGAAACACACTGATCACTATTATATAGAGGAGTGTCATTGTTATTATTATCATTATTATATACACCAGTATGATAATCATATAGGCCAGTATGATTATTATTTACGCCATTATTGTTGTTATTATTATTATTTCACAAACAATGGAACAACAAAAATATTGTATACCCACAAGCATTATGAAATTACATATATTAGAAACCAGCTTTTTCTTTCTTTCATTCCAGTCAATTTTTCTGTCAACTGCTTCAGGGTTCTAGTTCCTTGTGTCCTGGTTAACTGAAAGTCTACTCTATGTGTCAAGTCTACTCTGTCTATGTGTCTATCTATCTATCTGAGGCAGACACATTCACAGATTGGTTTCTATAGGAATAAGATGGGACAATTGATTGCCAACTCCACTGGATAATCTATCATTTAAGAAAAATGTTGTCATATATTTTACAAGAGAGCAAATTGCTCCTGGGTAGGTATCTCATGTGGGGAGATGTCAACTACTGTCAAGATGGAGTTGATCAGGCTCACTAAAATGGATTAGCATACTTTTAACCAACAAATGTAAATGTCCTATCTGTCTAAAATTCCTTCCACATTCCATACACTCATGTGATTCCTCCCCTTGGGGACTCTTTGATTGTAATCCAGGTGTCTCCTTTAAGGGAAGGTTTTGAAACACTGTCAGGAGATTGAACCTGGGTATCAAGGGGAGAAGGTGTCAGGAGTTTGGAGTGGTGTAAAGGGCTAGTGAGAAAAGCCTGAGATTGGTCTGTTGGCTAGCAGACTTAGCTAGTGGAAAGAATTCTATAGCTATTATGGAAATAGCTGGTAGAGGAGGGAAGAGATAGATCCAGGATAGGACTATCTGTGTTGGTGTAGAAGTACTTTCAGAGAGCACCAGGCATTCCAGAGCCATCTGGAATTTGATCATCCTCCTTTTCTACTTCCTTCTACGTTCCTCGATATTATTGCTTTTTCTAGTGTGCCCTGTCTTCTGATATGACCACGTTCTGGTCCTCAAGTTGTTAAGGACTCCTTGAAGTCAGAAGAGCAGAGTTGTGCGCAGAATTAGTTTCTGCTGTTTTTTTTTCATTGATTTTTGGGAGCACAGAATGAGAAGCCCCATCCTCACATGAAAATCAGCACAACATATTTCCCCTGAATACACAACCCTATTGAGGAGGTTAAACTGGATGGCACTTGTGATTTCTTCCAACTCTGATTTTATGATTCAGCCATCTTGGCCAATTGTCAAAGAATCTGGGAGATGAAGTCCAAAACTTTGAGAAAATTAGAGTTTGGGAACTACTGCTTTAGTGTCAGGAATCAATTTCTGAAGTCCCAAGGACATCATTAGTTTTCTCTCTGACATCCAGATGGCACTGGAGACCACATTATGGAACTTGTGAAGCAATTAGCTCTCATAAGGAAACTGAGTAGAGGGAGAAATGCGTGGGGAAGGGTATATAAAAGGAAGTAGTGGTGGGAAAACGCCAGTAGCATCTCTCTTTTCTGTAGAGATAAAAGCAAGACAGCCAATTCCATTCAAACTTGCTTGTGAGTGGTTAACTTTTTGCTATTTCCGAAGATGGTTCGGAAACTACAGCTGGTGCAAAGGTCGGTGTACGGCAGGGCTGTCTACTCACCCGACCTATTCAACTTGTATGCAGAACACATCATGCGACGTGCAGGGCTTGACGAATGCAAGACTGGGGTAAAAACTGCTGGAAGAAACATGAACACCCTTAGATATGCTGATGCTACCACTTGGATGGCCAAAAGTGAGGAGGAGCTGATTTATATAATTTGTATAATAAATTAACCCTGTAAGTTAATTTAACCCTGTAAGTTAATCAAGGTGAAAGAAGAAAGCTAAACATAAAAAACCCAAGATTATGGTAACAAGAATGATTGATAACTGGCAAATAGTGGGAGGAAACATGGAAGCCGTGACAGACTTTGTATTTCTAGGTGCAAAGATTACTGCAGATGCAGACTGTGGCCAGGAAATCAGAAAATGCTTTTACTTCTTGGGAGGAGAGCGATGACCAATCTTGATAATATAGTGAAGAGTAGAGACATCACACTGGTAACGAAGATCCACATAGTTAAAGCAATGGTATTCCCTGTGGTAACCTATGGATGTGAGAAATGGACCATAGGGAAGGCTGAGCGAAGGAAGATGAATGCTTTTGAACTGTGGTGTTGGAGGAAAGTGCTGAGAATGCCTTGGACTGCGAGAAGATCCAACCAGTCCATACTTCAGGAAACAAAACCCGACTGCTCATTCGAGGGAAGGATAGTAGAGGCAAAGATGAAGTATTTTGGCCACATAATGAGAAGACAGGAAAGCTTAGAGAAGACAATGATGCTGGGAAAAATGGATGGAAAAAGGAAGAGGGGCCGACGAAGGGCAAGATGGATGGATGGCGTCCTTGAAGTGACTGGCTTGACCTTGAGGGAGTTGGGGGTTGTGATGGCCGACAGGGAGCTCTGGCGTGGGCTGGTTCATGAGGTCACGAAGAGTCCGAAGCGACTGAACAAATAAACAACAAAATTATACTATCACTGAACTTTTTACATTCTGTCTAGCCAATCCAAGACATTATTTACAGCCCATTTAGCCAACTAAAGGTCTTTTGGCAGTCTATACATTCATATGGTTTTCCACCTTGTGAGTTTTTTGATGCGAGTATAGATTTCCACGCCGACCGAAACTCTTTCCACATTCTGTACATGTATGTGGTTTTTCCCCAGTATGAATTTTTTGATGGGCATGTAAATTCCCACGCCGGCTAAAGCTCTTCCCGCATTCCATGCATTTGTATGGTTTCTCCCCTGTGTGAGTCCTTTGATGTGAATGTAGATTCTCACGCCGGCTAAAGCACTTTCCACATTCGAGGCATTTAAATGGTTTTTCCCCTGTGTGAGTTCTTTGATGTAACTGTAGATTTTCACGGCGACTAAAACTCTTCCCGCATTCTGCACATTTATAGGGTTTTTCTCCTGTGTGAGTCCTTTGATGCAAATGCAGATTTTCACGCCGACCAAAGTTCTTTCCGCACACCGTGCATTTATAGGGTTTCTCCCCTGTGTGTGTTCGTTCATGCGACTGTAGATATACGTTGTTACTAAAGCTCTTTCCACATTTCATGCATTTGTAAGGTTTCTCCCCTGTGTGGGTTCTTTCATGCTTAATACACGCCCCACCATCAACAAAACTCTTCCCGCATTCGGTGCACTGGTACGGCTTCTCCCCTGTATGCGTTCTCTTATGCAGAGTGAGGGCATAATTTCTAAGGAAGCTCTTTCCACACTCCGTGCATTTATATGCTCTCTCTCCTTCATGGGTTCGCTGATGTTTCGTATATCCCCCATTATCGCTGAAGCTCTTTCCACATTGCATGCACTGATATCGCTTCTCTCCAGTGTGCGTTCTCTGGTGTATAGTGAGGGCTGATCTTGCAACGAAGCTCTTTCCACATTCCACGCACGTATATGGTTTCTCCCCTGTGTGCGTTCTTTTATGTAACGTAAGGGCATTGCTCAAACTGAAACTCTTTCCACAATCCGTACATGCGTATGGTTTCTCCCCCGTGTGAATCCTTTGATGCTTCCTACGTGCTCCACTAGTATTGAAGCTCATTCCGCACTGCAAGCACGGATACGGTTTTTCCCCTGTGTGCGTTCTCTGATGTATTGTCAGAGCAGACCTTGCAATGAAATTCTTTCCGCATTCTGCACACGTGTAGGGTTTCTCCCCTGTGTGGGTCCTTTTGTGTAAAGTAAAGGTACTGCTCAAACTGAAGCCCTTTCCACATTCCTCACACTTATATGGTTTCTCCCCAGTATGAATTCTTTGATGTTTCACGCACGCCCCGCTAGTGTTGAAGCTTTTCCCACAATGTGTGCATGGATATGGCTTCTCCCCTGTGTGGAGTCGCCCATGAATCTTCAACTGCCATTTATATTTCATTATTTTCCCACAGACAGAACACTTTTGCCTTCCGTTTCCTTTGCAATTTCTCTGGCGTCTCCTGAACTTGCAAAGATCAGCACCCAGAGAAGCAGAGGGTTCCTTCTTTTCTTTCTTTGGCAGGTTTCTATGGTGCCTCTTTGCTCCCTTTTGATTTCCCAAAGTCTCTCGTCCTGCTTCCTGCTTGATTGTTTGTGATGAAGCCATAGGTACTTCTTTATATCCCTCATCATCTCGCTGGTTGCCTGACAGAAAAGGAAAACAGTATCCTATGAGTAATTCAGTCCCATTTAACAAAGACACAATAACAAATAACCGGGATTGTGGCGCAGCTGGCTGAGTGTCAGCTGCATTAAGATCACTCCGACCAAAAAGGTCATGAGTTCGAAGCCAGCCCGGGTTGGAGTGGGTTTCCAACCAATTGTGTGTAGCCTGTTGTCGACCTTTGCAACCCGAAAGACAGTTGCATCTGTCAAGTAGGAAAATAAGGTACCACCTTAAAGTGTGGGGAGGCTAAATTAACTGATTTATGAGGCCATAAAGAAAACTCCAGCAAAGCATTCCAGCGGGGAAGCATGCGGGGAATGCGGAAGTGCTTCATCAGTGTCGCAGATGGACGATGAAAGCGACAGCTCCCTGGCGGCCAGAAAAAGTTAAATAGCCTCTGTGTATGTCTGTATATGTTGTATGTCAAAAATTGGCATTGAATGTTTGCCATATATGTGTACACTGTAATCCGTCCTGAGTCCCCTGCGGGGTGAGAAGGGCGGAATATAAAAGCTGTAAATAAATAAATAATAAAATTTGCACAATTGCTAAAGGAAAAAGAGAAAACGTTACTCTTTTCAGCTGCGTCAAAACATAAACTTGCAGTGTTACATTAAATACAGATCTTAAGGTTGGGAAGTAGCAGCCAATAGTGAAAGGACCAAGGTAGAGACATCTTCAGCCCATCCCTTTTTTGGGTATCAGCCAGCACGTCAACGACTTAAATCAAGAAATAGTTTTCTAAGATCTACAGACTCGCTGGAACACCTCAGCAAGCGAGAGTCCAAAAGTGGCAGGCTCAAACCCAGAACCTCAACCAATGGCTGATACCAAATGAGAGACTCCCTCCTGGGCACACAGAGGACTGGGCAACTTGGAAGGCGCTGAACAGGCTGCACAAGATGCAGAGCCAACCTTCAGAAATGCCAAAGTGGAATCCACGACATGCGAGTGTGGAGGAGAGCAAACCACTGACCACCTGCTGCAATGCACCCTGAGCCCTGCCACATGCACAATGGAGGACCTTCTTGCAGCAACACCAGAAGCACTCCAAGTGGCCAGATACTGGTCAAAGGACATTTAATCAACTACCAAGCTTGCAAACTTTGTGGTTTGTTTGTTTGTTAAAAAAAATGCAATACAACTGTTTGGTCTCCTCCTGACATGATAAATAAATCGATCTTAAGGTGTAGCAAACTTACATAGTCCTTGCAAGCATTGCAAGACTCAAAAACATAGATCCAAAGATGGCCAAAGGATTTCTTACCTTGAGAGGTCACGCTCCCCTCATCTTCAATCTTGACTTCCTTGTAGATGGTGCTCTGATCTGGTTCCAGTAGATCCCACTCATCCTTGATGAAAGACACAGCCATTCCCTCAAAAGAGATCAGGAACTGAAGGGGAGAAAAGTGAAGAGTGCTTCTTTGGACATCAATGTTTTCTTCCAAATACAGATATACCTCAGTTATCAAACAAATAAACTCCTATTGTCGAAGGCTTTCATGGCTGGAATCACTCAGTTCTTGTGGGTTTTTTCGGGCTATATGGCCATGTTCTAGAGGCATTTCTCCTGACGTTTCGCCTGCATCTATGGCAAGCATCCTCAGAGGTGAGGTCTGCTGGAACTGGGAAAAAAGGGGTTTATATATCTGTGGAATGACCAGGGTGAGACAAAGGGCTTTTGTAAGTTGGGCTAGGTGTGAATCTTTTCAACTGACCACCTTGATTAGCATACAATGGGCTGACAGTGCCTGGAGCAAACTCTTCTTGAAGGGTGATTAGATGTCCCTGCCTGTTTTTCTCTCTGCTGTTTTTGCTGTTGCAATTTTAGAATTTTTTAATACTGGTAGCCAGATTTTGTTCATTTTCATGGTTTCTTCCTTTCTGTTGAAATTGTCCACATGTTTGTGGATTTCAATGGCTTCTCTGTGTAGTCTGACATGGTGGTTGTGAGTGGTCCAGCATTTTTGTGTTCTCAAATAATATGCTGTGTCCAGGTTGGTTCATCAGGTGCTCTGCTATGGCTGACTTCTCTGGTTGAAGTAGTCTGCAGTGCCTTTCATGTTCCTTGATTCGTGTTTGGGCAATGCGTTTGGTGGTCCCTATGTAGACTTGTCCACAGCTGCATGGTATACGGTAGACTCCTGCAGAAGTGAGAGGATCCCTCTTGTCCTTTGCTGAACGTAGCATTTGTGGGATTTTCTTCAGATAGCTATCTACATAAAAACTCCAACCATCACCCAAGTCAAAAAAGAAGCACCATTAAAGCCTTGGCAGACCGTGCAAAAAGAATCTGCGAACCCCACCTCCTCCAAGATGAACTGAACCACCTCAACTGGGCTCTCCAGGCCAATGGAGACTCCACCTCGGACATCAGAAGAGCTGCAAGACCAAGAACAAGCCACGAGAGTCAAGATGAAGATCCACCCAGAGGAAAAGTGTTCCTGCCATACATCAAGGGAACCACTGACCGCAGAGGGAAGCTGATGAGGAAACATAACATACAAACTATCTACAAACCCACCAAGAAAATCCAACCAATGCTCCGTTCAGCAAAGGACAAGAGGGATCCTCTCACCTCTGCAGGAGTCTACCGTATACCATGCATCTAATCACCTTTCAAGAAGAGTTTGCTCCAGGCACAGTCAGCCCATTGTATGCTAATCAAGGTGGTCAGTTGAAAGATTCACACCTAGCCCAACTTACAAAAGCCCTTTGTCTCACCCTGGTCATTCCACAGATATATAAACCCCTTTTTCCCAATTCCAGCAGACCTCACCTCTGAGGATGCTTGCCATAGATGCAGGCGAAACGTCAGGAGAAATGCCTCTAGAACATGGCCATATAGCCCGAAAAAAACCACAAGAACTGACGAAATAAACTCCTTTTCATGAAGTCATTTAATTCCTGTTCTACACTATTACCTCTTTTTTCCCTGTCTAGTCTGAAAGTATTTCAACAGCTTTGGTATTGGGAGAAGGATGAAGGACAGTTGGGAAAATTCAGACTTTGGATGTCTGAAGTAAACAATCAATAAAACTTCCTCTCCCTTTGGCCTTGCACCTCTTACTATGTCAGATGGCTTTCAGTCCAGTTGGGATAAAGCAATACCAGCCAAAATTTCATCCTTAAGTTTCTCCCCAGGACTGTTAACCAGTATGGGATATGACCAAGCCAAATCTCTGATTAAACAACGAATAACTGACAACGAACACTAATTAGCCAATTCCCCATCCTTTATTACCAATGGAGTCAGTAGGTTTGGTACCTCCCCTATGAAATATCTAACCATGCTTGAGGTTTCCAGCCATCGGAGGGCCTTCACTCTGGCACGTTGCCATGCTCTCCCATCTGCCGTATTGGAAGGTCGATACCGGAAGACACCATACGCCGAGAGACATAGAGACTACAGAACATGTGCTTCTCCAGTGCCTGTTCTATAGGCATATTCGATCCTGTCTCATTATGCCATGGCTACTCAAACACCCAGGACACTCTGGACAATTTTACACCTTCCTGCTGCTTTCAGATTTTTTTTTTTGTCGTGTCAGGAGAGACTTGAGAAACTGCAAGTCACTTCTGGTGTGAGAGAATTGACCATCTGCAAGGACGTTGCCCAGGGGACGCCCGGATGTTTTGATGTTTTATCATCCTTGTGGGAGGCTTCTCTCATGTCCCCGCATGAGGAGCTGGAGCTGATAGAGGCAGCTCATCACCTCTCCCCGGATTCGAACCTGCGACCTGTCGGTCTTCAGTCCTGCCGGCACAGGGGTTTAACCCACTGTGCCACTTGTAGGTGAACTATAAATCCCAGCCACTACAGCTTCAAAATGCCAAGGTCTATTTTCCCCAAACTCCACCAGTGTTCATATTTGGGCATATTGAGTATCCATGTCAAGTTTGATCCAGATCCATCATTATTTGAGTACACAGTGCTCTCTGGATGTAGGTGAACTACAACTCCAAAATTCAAGGTCAATGCCCACCCACCAAACCCAGTATTTTCTGTTGGTCATGGGAGTTCTGTGTGCCAAGTTCAGTTCAACTCCTTGGTGGAGTTCAGAATCCTCTTTGCTTGTTAGGTGAACTTTAAATCCCAGCAATTACGACCCCCAAATGACAAAATGCACCTCTCCCCCCGAAGCCACCAGTATTCAAATTTGGGCATATCGGGTATTTGTGCCAAATTTGGTCCAGTGAATGAAGATACATCCTGGATATCAGATATTTACATTACGATTCATAAAAGTAGCAAAATTACAGTTATGAAGTAGCAACAAAAATAATGTTATGGTTGGGGGTCACGACCACATGAGGAACTGTATTAAGGGGTTGCGGCATTAGGAAGGTTGAGAAACACTGGTCTAGATCCAGAGAAGTCATGCTCCCCATACTCTATTCTGCCTTGGTTAGACCACACCTGGAATACTGTGTCCAATTCTGGGGACCACAGTTGAAGGGAGATGTTGTCAAGCTGGAATGTGTCCAGAGGAAGGTGACTCAAAGGATCAAGAGTCTGGAGAACAAGCCCTATGAGGAGCGGCTTAAAGAGCTGGGCATGTTTAGCCTGAAGAAGAGAAGGCTGAGAGGAGACATGATGAGGGCCATGTATAAATATGTGAGCACATTCTAAGGATTATGTCTGTTTGATTTATTAAAATATTCCCATCCAAACCCAAGTGATGAAGGCGGAGGCATTACTTTTCAGTCAACCCTTGTATCATGTTCAAACGGTTGTTAAATGGTTGCTGACATATCTTGTGTGGTCTAATTGTGAACTGGCATGGGAACCTAATAGGCAGATTGTGGTGAGAATGATGTCGAAGCTCTTCAGGAATTGGAAACTTTTCCAAGCACTGGTTCAAAGGAAGGCAACTTGGTCCAGCATTCTCACAGCCGGATGTATTTATGAGACCAAGCTGGGACTCTATGGGCTTGCTCACTGATTTAAAGCCCGACATTAATTCCAGAAAGAAATGTAAGAGAAAAGGTAAAAACGATTACAAAAGACTGAAAATAATCAGATGGGCCCAGAACTATTACAATGTAGGCAGCCAAGTTTCCAAATAAATTCAGACATTAGAGAGGGACATCCAAGAGGAGAAGCAGATGGCCAATTGCTTGGCTAATTAGATACTTTGCTCAGATGGAAAACAGAAAATCACAGGTGCTTTGGTCCCGTCTACAAGACAAATTAATTTGGCTCTGTAACAGTTTCTCTGTCATGTTTCCTGGGGTCCCTAGTATGTTGAGATGGCTTTAAATCCTATTAGAGATCCTACATGGGCCAAAGGAAAAGGATTGACCTTTGCGACCCATATGAGGAATCCATTTGACATATGGCTGGTTCTGTAGCAGAAGCACTACTTCTGGTTATTAATTCAATCCAAACTGCAATTTACTTCAGATGGTCAAGAAAGCTCCAAAGCCCACTATATGGTTCCGATATGTGGATGACACTTCCACCATTTGGAGCCATGGAGGAGAAGAACTAAACAGGTTCTTTAGCCTGAAGAAGAGAAGGCTGAGAGGAGATATGATAGCCATGTATAAATATGTGAGAGGAAGCCACAGGGAGGAGGGAGCAAGCTTGTTTTCTGCTTCCCTGGAGACTAGGACGCAATGGAACAATGGCTTCAAACTACAAGAGAGGAGATTCCATCTGAACATGAGGAAGAACTTCCTGACTGTGAGAGCCGTTCAGCAGTGGAACTCTCTGCCCTGGAGTGTGGTGGAGGCTCCTTCTTTGGAAGCTTTTAAACAGAGGCTGGATGGCCATCTGTCAGGGGTGATTTGAATGTAATATTCCTGCTTCTTGGCAGAATGGGGTTGGACTGGATGGCCCATGAGGTCTCTTCCAACTCTTTGATTCTATGATTCTATGATTCTATATGGCTGGTTTTGTAGCAGAAGCACTACTTCTGGTTATTAATTCAATGCAAACTGCAATTTACTTCAGATTGTCAAGAAAGTTCCAGAGCCCACGATATGGTTTAGATATGTAGATGACACTTTCACCATTTGGAGCCATGGAGAAGAAGAACTCAACAGGTTCCTGGACCATCTCAACAGCATCCACCCAAACATCCAGTTCACCATGGAAAAAGAACATGAAGAAAGACTGCCTTTTCTAGATGTCCTAGTTATCCGCAAACCAGATCAACAATTGGGTCACACCGTCTACAGAAA